TACACGGGGAAATACTGATCGAATAGCCTGCCCGTCAGTCCTTGATTGACTGGTTGGGAATAGGTTCAACATGACCGAGGGGATCTCACAGGGCAACCTCCATCTGTCTCACCCCAAGGCTCTTTTCCATGCCTGCCGCTCTGATGGATGTAAAGTTTTGAAAGACTTTTTGAAAGGTTACTTTCGGCTAGAAGAACCGGTGTAAACGAAAAGCTTTCGACGATAGCTCTTTTGCTTCTCCTGTTACTAGCTAGGCAAAGACTTTCTTTCCACTGTTAGGAACAGCTCAAGGGGAAAAGATAGCAACCAGTAAACTATCTGCCATCAAGACTGAAAGGGATTCGGTAAGACGTGGCTGAGATTGGTTTGAGAGTTTGTCTTATTCAAGAAAATCGGATGTGGTTGCGTTGTTAAGAGAGATGGGAGAACCCACGGCTAAGTGAAGTGAATCAGCTCTTTACGAGAAAAACCTTGCTACGGGGGGAATAGAATATATCAGAAATGCTAAGCCCTGAGGTGGTTTTTTCCTTCAAGGATAGCAGGTCACCCACCTTATCCGATCTGATGTCTTCGAGGGCATTGAGGAAAAGGCACAACATAGCCTGTAGCAGAATTGAATTACGGTATCCCCCTTCCCTCTAGGCTAACTGAACTCCCGGAAACTACAACAGACACTGCAACAGGAAGAGCTTAACTTAAGACGTCTACTGGCTCGGCTGGCATGACATTGAAATAAAGGGCTTAGAACTCCAATTGGGTTTGCTCGCTCACTCGATATGCTTACTACTAGAGCTTCATGGGTTTTGCTTTTCTTCTGCAAGAGGATCAATGGGAAAAAGAATTGAACTGTCTTAAAATTCAAAATAAAAGAGCTTAGGTTCTTTACCTTTGATCTATCCCTCTTATCCATAGCTTACTTGAAAGAAGACTGATTTTGCTAAAGAACTAGCTTTCCGGGAGATTATCTAGCTATTTAGACTAAGGGGAGAGCTGGTCTTACTGTTAGACACGGTAAACATAGGAGACACCTTATCTACGTTAGGAATTTAGGAAGAGTAGTACCGATAGCCTTAGTACGAGTTGGTCCTTTCTTATTCTTAGTCCTCTTATGACTCTTAGGAATCTAGCTCTCCTTTTCACTCAAGTGAATTGGTGAATTTGCTTTTGGCATTTGGGCAAACGGCTCGCACGTGATGCTCTTTAATAGCGGTCACTATGATCCGCTTGGTAGCTAGACGGCATCTTTTTCCTTCTTTAAGCTCCCCGAAACCTAGGTTCGATTTAACCAACGACTGGAGTCTTCATCATATATCCATACTGAGGAATAAAATAAATGTATTTCCCAGACCTCCTTTCGTAATAGAAAAGGATAGTGAGAAGATGATGGTAAATCAGCTCAAGGAACAGTCTCCACGGAATGAATCAAAGAAGACGGAATTTCTCGCCGCTGAAGTGCGAAAGCTAATCTCAATAGTGGATATAGTTGATTGACTCGCTTAGAACGGAGGAAGTTAGTTTAAAACAAGCTGCGGATGCTGCCCCACTCCGAGAAGGGCCTACCCTAATTCACGTACTACAAGGTAAGATGCTATGAGAAAGTAGTAGCTAGTCTTTAACATAATATATATATATCGTTCCCTTACGTAACCAATAGAAACCTAGGGGAAGCCCGGTCTAATAGCTTTCGTTTTCGAGAATCTAGTGCCAGCGAGGGTAGCCCTCTTTTCATGTGCCCTTTTTTATGTCCTCGGCGAAAGTCATCAAGAAATCCACAAGTAAAGGTGCGAGAGTCCTGTCTGACAGGAAAGAAAGAGTTATAAAAAGCAATGGCCTGTCATTAGCCCAGAACCCTGTGCCTTTCTTGTCCCGCCAGTTACAATACCCGTAAAGAAAGAGATTTTCTCCTTTCCTTAAAGGGATAACACTCAAGCGAGTGCCTTAAAAGTAAGCCAGCTTAAGCTCCTAAGCAAGAAAGAGTAGTAAGCCCGTGTTAAAGGGAGGCTCCGCAAGACCCGTGGCTTTCCCTCCACTTAATTAAACACGTGTCTAACACCTTTTCCTTGTCCCTCTCTTTCCTAACTAACTCAAGTTGTTGGTTTCAGTTCCTCTTACGGTGTCTGGACTCATCGTACTTTCTCAAATCTGAAGGAAAAGGCTATGAAATCCCAGATTTAGCTGGTTTAACTGTTCGACAAGGATTTACCCATCTTAGCCCAAAAAGGCTAGATTTAGCTGAAATAAATGGCCTCTGAATCAGAATTCACTTGAGCCGGGTTACCTTGAGGCTGTAGAGCTGGAGTGTATTGAGAAAAGAGGTTGGGAGGCTGAACTGGCGGCACTTGGGCAGGTTGGACAGGTGGAGGTAGAGCTGGTTGACTATGAAGGGTGACTATATGATTATAAGGAAGTGGAACAGGTTGTTTGGGAGGAACTGAGATTTGCAAGGGTACCTGGTATAGGCAAGGTCGTCGTAGTGCTAGAGTATAGGTGGAGAGGGCCTTCCTACAAATGGGATTAACCACTGGTTGTTCGGATGCTGCTATCAGCTACATCACCAAGAGTAGAAGACAAGGATTGAGAAGGTGGAGCTTGCCCTGGGTTCGGAATCAACGGATTGAGGATCGGAGATCTAGATAGTTGTGCTTTGAAGACAACCTTCT